ATGAGACCAGTTCAGTGTCTGAATAAATGTTCATATTCATTTGGAAGCTTTTTTGTGGCACTTTTAACCAGAGTTAGCAGAAACAGAGACAAAGCTCACTGAGATTGACAATCGCCTTTCCCACAACACTGGCTCCGAGATTTTAGTCAAAGAACTTTTGAAGGATATTTATCATTTCTGAAAGCTTTACTCGACTTTCCAAATCTGTCTTTTTGTTTAATCAGGGACCCGAATAAGCTTTCTTTTATTCCACTCTTTCTCACACGACTCTGCAAGATCCGCTCTATCAGCTCTAACTCAGGTTCTTTTTCCTGACACAGGTAGGATGGCCAGTCCCCCTGTCTCTTCACCTTGCACGAGCAGTGAATCAAATACTACCTAATGAACATAATAAGGAATCACTAACCCACAAATGTGTTTCCTTGTTTTTTTAATGCTGTGAAATCGTAGGGTTGCAACATGAATGTTGGTCTCTTTCATCTTGTGTAGACACTGGAGGGCTGTGGTCTGTCTCCGGGATGAAATGTCTGCTTAGGGGATAGTGTCTCAGTGACTCCACCACCCACTTCATTGCAAGACACTCCTTTTCCACAGTGGATTATCGAGACTCTCTCTCCTGCAGCAGTACTGCTCCTGTGCCTACTCCAGAGGCATCTGTCTGCTGAGTGAAATCTGTGGGGTTGAGGGAGGCAGTAGGTAGGCAGTCTCTGATGTGCTAAGACACTATCCGCTCAAAACACTTCCTGACTACAGACGTGAGGGCTATAGGTCTTTAGTTAATAAGGCCGTCTATGCCAGTCTTTTTAGGGGTGAGAATGATGGTGAAGGCCTTCACACAGGTGGGAACGGTGGCATGAGTGAGGGAGAGGGTGTACAGCCTGGTGAGGATCCCTGCCAGTTGGTCCGCTCAGCCTTTAACCAAATAGTAATTGATACATGGGGCTGCATTACAGTCTATGTGGTTTTAAAGTGGTTTTAACTGGGCTGTCTGCGGTATTATGTTGGAAGTGTCAATCCCATTTCTGTTCATATAACTGATTTCTTTATATTATACAAATACAGGCCATATATTGTAATTTTGTGTATTTATATTTGTTGCTTGACCTGCTCGGAGACTGCAGATGGAAATGAGGTAGCTAAATCTGGTATAATGGATTTCTTCTCCCAGATAAACTGAGTGAAACAAAGATTTGATCATATTTATAAGTGTACTCTTAACACGCTAGTGATGTGTCGGTCGCAAACGAAACGGATTCTAGAGCCGACTCTTTGAAGTGAACGACGCGAGTCGGTTCCTTATTGGGAGCCATGTATTTTTTTCTTTCTCTCACCCTCTCTCTCACACTTTTTTTGATAAGGGTCTGGCTGCAGCCACTGTGGAGCGCCATATTGCGACCTCCACAGTAGCCGGAAACACGTACCCTGCATGGATACAGCGGAAAACTTGTGATGTGTCGGTCGCCAACGAAACGGCTCTTAGAGCCGGCTCTTTGAAGTGAATGATGCGAGCCTTATTGGGAGCCGTGTTTTTTTCTCTGTCTCTCCCTCTCTCTCTCTCTCTCTCGCACTTTTTTCTGCTTGAATTGAATTGAATTGAATGAATGCTTTATTGGCCATATGCAGGTTGCCCCACAGAGGAATAGGACCCACCCCCCCCCCCCGACTTACACACACAACAAAGACATCACATGGGAATACAGTCGGAGATCGGCAGCATTGCAGAGAATAACACAGAAAAAATTACACAACAATGGGAAAAGTACAAGAGGAAAAAAAAGAGACCTCTTCACACGCTGGGCAACTTAAGGGAGGACAGCATGAGAACAGGAAACAAAAAAAACTCCTCTGCACAGAGAGCACATTAATGTCCACATCACAACATTAGAGCACATGACAAGCCACAGGGGTGGATAGGGGGGTGGGGGGTAATCCGAAGGAACACAGCAGACGTCCTACACCATGCTACCACCATGCGCGCAGACCCGCCGTCTTCCCCCGCAGGAAACAAGCATCAAAGGCGTTTGGAAGGGAGGGGGATGAGTGCGTGCTTATCAGTGTAAGTGTATGTGTGTGCGTGTCCAGAGTTCAGCGAAGACAGTGTCCTTCGCTCTATCAGGCTAAGTAAACAGTCTGCCAGCCAACCCAGGTGGCCTTCATGGGACGGGAAGAATAGTCATCACACAGTCGTTATCAGGGAGTTGTTTTGGTGGGCTCCAGCCTTGGGCCTGAGCAGCTGGCGCCGTGGTGTCCAAATGTTGAATATTGTTGATTTCTCCTTTGTGAGCAGCTCGAATTTAGCACTCTGACGCTGGTCCCTCGATCTCCCGTTGGAGAGCCGCGAGCCTCCCCATGATGGTATCAAACTTCTGTTCCATGGTGTTGTCAGTCTTTTGATTCTGAGACCTCACAACTGCAGTGATCCGTTCCGCGATGTTTTCCAACTGTCGCTCAAGGGTCTCATTTTGAGACTCTGCATGCGAGCCTTGTGCTTTGTGTTGGGAAGAGGGGGGAGGGGCAGTAGTTACACTTGCAGTAGCACAGGAACAGAGCGGGAGGGAGGGAGAGAGAGAGAGCCAGGGACAACAACGTCACATTAGAAAGGTATAGTAATCATCCACAACTATTTTCAGTTGCAGATGATAAAGGATTCAGAAAGTTTATTCATGCAGGTCCATATGACAGAGAATGTGCATCTTCTTTTTGTTTTCATATTTTAATTTATATTTAATTGTGTTGTGGTTTGCAGTGTTTTGTGTTGTTTCACTTTAAATTTATTTAAAAGGAAAAAGCTGAAAATTTAAATAGTTAAAAGTTGAAATGTAAATAGTTTTTGTATTATATGATTTATTTATTACATTTTATGTGGAGTGAATAAATAAAAGTATATTTACGGTACCCTAGAGACAAAGCACATACAAAGTTGAAAAACACGTACAAACTCCAAAACACAACAGAAGTGCTCCAGGATGCTGGGCGCAGTGTTGAGCTTTTGTTACCTAGTGCCAACACAAGCCAGGAAGTACCAATGGCCGGATTTGGTTTGTGGTAGTAACAGGTAAATGAACTTTTTTTTTTAATTATTTGAATATATATATGAGTGTCTGTGTATAAATACACAAACAATACACATATGCTTTCAATTGTGTAATTTAAGTGATCTAGGTAGCTCTGTACGTGCTTTAGAATTTGTACATGTTTTGGAGTTTGTATGTGCTTTGTCTCTAGGGGCCACCGCATGTATTCATGTATAAACAATAAAACCACAAGGTTTTTTTTTTACATTAGTAATTAGAATTGTATACTGTTGTTGATAATAAATTAATTATAGCAACAAAACAACCTGAAGAGTCGGTTGGGAGCAAGGTTATTAACGTTAACGAAAACTAACGAAATAACGAAAACTAGAAGTGAAAAACATTTTCGTTAACGGAAATAAAAATGGGTTTTCATTGATGTGTGCGTGTCCTACAATAGTCAAGGGTGAAAATGAAGTTTAGTTTCCAGATTTTTTCTTGCTGTGTCTCATTGTGCCAGCAGATGGCAGTATGTTAGTCGAGTCGTCTGTGTTGCTGCTCCGTCTACGCGCAGAATCATGTCAGGAAAAGTCGGGAGAAAGCGCCAGAGTCCAATTTGGGATTACTTTGAATATGACTGTGTTTTGGATAAAGCAAGTGTCTTGTAGTGGAAAGAGACAAATTATGAGGGACATTTCTAAAGGGAAAAAAATCCCACAAACCTTAAAGTGCACTTGAAAAGCTCACACAAGAAGGCTAACCTAGCTTACCTTGAGAAGGTAAGGGAGCACACTCAACCCTCATCCCCAGAAACAGAGCTAACCCCAGGCAAGGCAGCGTGATGCATCCCGAGACAACAGGACTGGGGACATCTACATAACTGTGTGAGTCAATTGCCTTCAAAAAGTTTATCAATTCACTTGAACCAAAATTACGAACACCCGGTGCTGCAAGAGTTAATAGTCTCATTGGGGCCAAGATATACATTTTATAGTTGCCTGGTATCAATGGTTGTTCATCTGCCTTTATTTATTTATTTAAAGAACCCATAGGTGGGAATGTGAGTTGTCTGTCTCTGCGTGTTAGCCCTGCGACAGACAGGCGACCTGTCCAGGGTGCAGGGTATGGTAGCTGGAATAGCAACATACCCAAGGATAAGCAGAAGAGCATGACTGATATGATGAAACTGGGATTTTGTTACACTTAATTATTGCAAACACAACTAAAACTATAACTGAAACTAATCAAAACTAAACTGAAACTAAGGATTTTCAAAAAAATAAAAACTAAACTAAACTAGCAAACAATTGGTAAAAACTAATTAAAACTGATATAAAATTGAAAATCTGAAGTCAAAACTAAATAAAAATAAAAACTAATGAAAATTGCAAAACTATTAAAACCCTGGTTGGGAGCAATGTTCCCTCTAAGCTGTGCACGTGCACAATTGCGCACTGCTGGCACAGTCTCTGTGCACAGAAAATCTGCTTTGTGCACAAAAAAATCTAACCTGAATTGAAATTAAAATTAAATACATTTAATCAATTCTGTTTGCAGTGTTAGTCAGTAGTGACTGGCTGCTCCCTGTATGGGATTAGAACGATGCCACCTTATCCCATAGGCCAGCCATGATGCGATATCACATTCGTATATACGCAGCTAATCAACGTCTGCTGACAGGCTATGACAGCGTCCTTATGTGCCGACACCGGTGTTTTAGCTGGCAAAGCGGCTGATGTGGAGTGAAGCCATACGTTAATGACAAGGTACCATTAGAGTGAGAAGAATATATATACATAATATCATATAGTCATACGAGATAAATGATACGAGAGAGAGAGAGAGAGAGAGAGAGAGAGAGAGAGGAGAGAGAGACGACTCTTTGAGTGAACTGAGCCGAAAGAGCCGGTTCTCTAAATAGGTCCGGAATTCCCATCGCTTTAACACACTGATCTGCAGTACGCAGAGCAAACAACAGGTGGCAGCAAAGGAGTGACCCCGGCTCAGTGTAGCGCAGTGACGATGGGAGAAGAAGAAAGTGTTGCAGCCTGAGAGAAGAGAAAGCGCTGATCTGTTTCAAACAGCTGTTATCGCTTAAACAACAAGGTAAGTTCAAAGGACACTCGGGTCTTCCTGCCTCTGTGGGGCTGACAGGGGCCGCCCAAACACACGACGTGTCACAGGAAAAGGCCAGGGTGCACTCTGCAGCTCAACATGATTTATTAGGCTAAGTGAAAAGATACAGACCAAAACAAATGTCCCTCACAGAGCACGTAAATAAATAGGCTGGGTCGCAGAAGGATGTGCGGCTCAAACGTGAAGCTGGACCTTAGATTGACGGTGAAACACGAACGTGTTTTTCACGGCGAACCGTATTTCCTGCGCCCGTGGATGTGGAAAAGTAGGGACACTGTGACTCTTCCGTGTTCTTGAAATCAGTGAAGTGGTCTGAAACTAAACGGAGTGATGTCATCGGCAGGTGGTAGTAAACCTGTAATAGCTGGTCAATGCGTGAGTCCTGTGCGGCGTACCTGTGGTCCCCGTTTCTACGTTTCACAACACGTCACTGCATGGGCGTGACGTCAGAGGCGTTCAAAAACTACACGAGTCATTGTTATGATTATGGTTATTATCATTATTGTTCACTTTTTCGGTCGAATTTAGAGGCAAAGGCCAAACTAACGAGCTTGCTTATAGTCGCCTTCATGTGTTTTAGAAAAATCAACGGTCGGTTTTGCAGCTTCATGCTAATACAACATGTAAGCTTACATGTGGCATATTACACACGTGAGCCGTGATACACCCACTAACTGTGGGTTAAACCGTTTTATCTTGTGACTCGCTATTACTGCGTAATTATTCCTGATTGAAACAGTGGTAATAAAGAATGAGCTGTTTGCAGGTATAATTATAATCAGTGAGCCCTTACTGACCACTTACATAAATATTTACATTTACATAAATTCAGCTATATAGACGTTGGATAGCCGAGAACTGATCAGAGCTTCTACCTCGTGACAGAGATGTTCTTTCTGTCTACAAATAGCTTGATGTCATTCATGAGAGAAACGTTTCACAAATGATGGACCAAGAACTCGTTTACAACTGCTTAAATACCAACAATCAGCTTTGGAAAAACCTGAAAAGACTTTTAGACACAAAAGGTGAGCGTGATGAGGCAGCAGCTACTAACACGACTCTTAGTTTGTGAATAGATATAGAATTCAGTCATTAGGCTCGAGCGTTTTCTTTTTCATTTGAAGAAAATGTTGCTCGATAGCTGACTGGCAGTTGAACGCATCACATTGGCGGCCCTTATCACATCAGGGAGTGATGGTGAGCTCGCAGGAGAGTTTCTTATGTGAAATCTTCCATCTTTTTAACAAAAGCCCATTGCACAGGTGTGTTTCTGCTGTGGATCGGTCACCATGACAACCAAGCGCAGACTTATCACGGACTCGTTCAAAGTGGTGAAGAGATCCAGAAAAGGAGGGAAGCGAGAGAAGAGCCCAACTCCTCCTCCTTCCCCACAGAAAGGTGAAGAGCAGCACTCTTTGTGGTGTCACTGTAAACAGATTCCCTGCAAACGCAGCTTTCCATGATTCACAAATAAAAATAGTCATTATGTATCTCATGCTGACCCTCGGTGACCCTCGGTTCATCAGTTTAGTGCTTGCTTACTGCCCTCACATGAACATCTACCTCTCTGTCTAAACATGTCCAAAAACCTGCTGCACAAGTGTTCTATGAAAGTTCCAAATTGCAGATCCATCCAGTATATTTACCCTGATGTTAATGTGAGTGTTGTTGTCACATGACCCTTTCTTCCTGTGAGCAGAGGCTGACAGAATTAGAGAGGAGGAACTGGAGAAGCTCCGACAGTTTGACCTCGACTGGAGTTTTGGGCCCTGCACAGGTAAGATTCATGCTGTGGTAGATTGAGAAGCAGTCCAGCTCCTTGGAATCGTTAGTCGATCCCATTTATCGCTTCTTGCGCTCTCGCTGCGATCAGCTGGTTTTGATTCGCAGGAGAATAATGGCTCGGCCTGCGGTGGGGGCTGTGTCGATTTGTACTGCACAAAAGGATGAGAGTGCCATGCTACAATGGAGACTGCTCCTGGACAGAATCGGCTGCACCATAGTGTTAACACCTGCACAGACAGGATGCTAACGCTAAGCTAGCCAAGAACCCAGAGTGATGTTAAAGCGGAGTGAAGCCCGGCCCTGTGATGAAGTGAGCCGTCGTCTGCAGCGTTCTACAGTAATGTCGCTGTAATGTCTCTTTGTGCTGCTTTCCAGCTTTGCTTTGTGTTCATACCTAAACACTAAGAGAACGATCACGCGTGTCCTCGTTGGGACAGGGATGTGTGTCGGTGTGTGGGGTAGCCTGTAGGTTTATATTGTTAAATGATGATTGTGAGACAGAGTAACATGAAAGTAACGCAGTGAGTAGTGTAACAAATGTCTTTCTCCTGGGTGTAATTAAGTAACGTGCTGCATTACTGTTACGATTCTGGTTAACATGTGCAGTAACCTTTTTACTACGACTCCAACAGCGATCACAACAAAGAGGGGAAACGATACGATA